TTACTGAATGTTTTTGATGTACTCTATCTCTGGTTTAGAATATTGGATCCACATCAAATTTGACTTCAGTCTAATAACTATTTAGTCAACATGTTTAATTTATGTCAATGGTGACAGGTATTGATAATTTCGATTCCAAATATCTCGAGAACCATTACTCGTCGCGATTTTCACCAAGATACCTTTTTTACGTAAAAAATGTCGTAAATGTATATTTTTTTACTCAGCAGTTTTATACAGGTATGGACGAAAACTTATTACTCTTCAAACCAGTAAAAAAATATGTAGGTGGCGCCCTCTACAAGTTGGAGTCATATTGACATCAAAATCCCAAATTTCTCATGTCAAAAAACTCCCAGACACCAATTTTCATCCAAATATTGACGTTACATCAGAAATGATTTGAAAAAAATCGAAATAAAAATGAAATTTTACACCTTGTATCTCCGAATCTAAGCATTTTAGGACATACATTTATACATACTTTTTTACTTATTTTAAGGTGCAGAATATGTTACCGAAGTTTCTGGAATACAATTCGAATTCCCTGTATATCTTCCATCTCATTTAAACTATTATTCGGATCTATTGATTAGTCAAATTCGGCAATTAGTAGCTAGTAGGTATCACTGAAATAAGTTAAGGCTTTCCCGGACACACTCGCGAACACATAACTGCCGCTAAACACTTCACATTCCAATCGCTCTGGGATAACCCTGTTTATCGCAATCGAGCACCTCCAGCAACTTACAAGACACAACTCAAAGGCATGAGGCCCTTATTTAACATAGAATAAACAAACAAAACGTAAAACTCATGTTAACCACAAAACACACTTCTCGTACTGCCCGCCGTCTTACGTAACTACTTTTACCTCTGTTTGCCTTGCTTTCCAATGAATCATATATTATTTTTTCTAGTTATCTTTAAAATATGGAGTTTTTATTAATTGGTAATTGGTATATACAGGGTGTCAAAGAAATAGTGTATCTAACTTTGGTGGAGTGAAGTCCTTCCTGTCATGATAATTACTATGAATATATGCCCTAAAATACTTCTCAAGGAAGTTATAGCTTGTCCTTGAAAGGACAAATAAAACTAATATAAATTTATCTTTTTTACGTGAAAAGTCCTAGTTCTAAAAGTCCCGTTTATGCCATTTGTTGAAATTACTGTATCTATAGGTTTGGTGCATTTCAGTTGATTTCAACAAATTCCGACCACAGCGCTTCAACGGCAGAAATCAGAAATTATCAGTATGCATTTCACATCGACGCGCGGCGCGGCGCGGCCGTTCCTGTTACAGTTCATGTTGATCGCATTAAAGATTGAAATCGTTTGTCATAATATTTAAGTTTTTTGCTAGTGCAGTTATTGAAACTACAAAATACTCAGGTACTACGAGATTTGTGTTTCGGGTAGTAAAAAATAAGTGAAAAAAAATTCGAACTAGACGTCGTTTTGTGTTGTGACAAGTTCAATTGTTAATAAAATTGCCGAAAAAATGTTAGCACGTAAAGGAGAGCATAATTAAGGCATTGTTGGGTGCAATAACATTCAATAATTCAACTTTCCCGCATATTCAACTCTTTCGAAACAACATTTTATAACTTCATAGTTTCTCACAGCGATTTGATCAAAAGCAAAAGTGGCTTTAACTCCTTCAGTATATATTTGGCATTTGAGCCTTTTTCTGTCCATGATATTCGTAACATTTCTCACCAGCACATTTCAAATACATCTATTCTTAGTTGTGTAATTCATGTAAGTCATAAAACAATGCCAATTGAAAGAAATTCGGCAGTTTCTTAGAAAACTTTTTAATCTAATATTCTATCCTTATCTTATTGTAAAACTTCTACAGGGTGTCCCAGGCTGAGCGTGCATTAGAAGTTTCTAGGGAACTACAATATCTAGATCGGTGATTTCAGTTTGAACTTAAAAACGATTTATTTTTAGGTATAGGAACATGTACAGGGTGGGTCAAATTCGACGGTTTTAAATGAAAACACCCTTTTTTATAGGAGATAGACGAAAACTAATATCGGTGTCTGGAGCTCAATTTTCATCAAAAACATGATGGTGAAAACCGCACATCAATATCTGTTACCGTTTCAGAGTTAAGGGGTGATTTTCAGAAATGTACATTTTTAACAAATCGCTGTAACTTTTTTGCTATGAAAAATTTTGTATTTCTATGTAAACATTTCCAAAGCACCTTTTTACGTAGAATTTAATGGTTTAAGTATAATTTTTTTAAAATTAATAATTTAAGAGTTATCAACTGAAAAATTGATTTTTTATTTGGGACACCCTCTATATTTTTAATTAACTGAAAAGAATTTAAAATTACCTTTCCAAAAATATAGCACACTTGATATTTTGTTATAATCCTCTTCGAAATACAGAATTTTTAAAAGTTCGCCACTTTTAACTAGTAGGCTTTGGACCCCTTATTGATGATAATGCCCTTAATGGATCTCGACAACATATTTTTCCAGCAAGACAACACACCGCCTCTGAACGCTGAAGTTATCAGCAAATTTTTGCAGCCAATTTCAAGAATAATTGAATAGCTAACCAAGATCCCAGCCGTTGGCCGTGGAGGCCGCCTGACTTAGTGCCCATGGATCTAATCCTATGGATATATTTGCGGAAGAATAAACGTTCCTTATTCTTCCGTATAATCTAGACAAGAATTAGAAATACTTGCAGTTATGAGTTAATGAATTCAGCGAGAAATGTTCAAAAACTGCCCCGTCTGTCCATAACAGAAGACGGTAGCAAAATCTCATGTCTTGGTTTGCTATTAATTTTTATCGTTATTAGATATAGTTTAATTGTGTTGATGTTGGTTAAATATATTTTAAATTGTTATAAAATTCTGCATCTCTCATAGCAAATATTATTTTCGTTTTAACTGATGCTCACAGCTAGAATTTTTTGCATTACAGCCGGTGCCGTTCAAAGCGGGCGATTTTTTATATACTCTGTATCTCGAAGAGGAATCAAGCAAGATATCAAGTGTGTTATATTTTTGGAAAGGTAATTTTAAATGCTTTTCAATAAATTAAAAATATACAGAGCGTCCCATATAAAAAATCAAATTTTCTGTTGATAATTCTTAAATTATTAATTTTAAAAAAATTATACTTAAACAATTAAATTCTACGTAAAAAGGTGCTTTGGAAATGTTTTCATAAAAATACAAAATTTTCCATAGCAAAAAAGTTACAGCGATTTGTTAAAAATGCATATTTTTGAAAAACACCCCGTAACTCTGAAACGGTAACAGATATCGATATGCGGTTTTCACCATCATGTTTTTGACAAAAATTAAGTTCCAGACACCGATATTAGTTTTTGTCTATCTCCTATAGAAAAGGGTGTTTCCATTTAAAAGCGTCGAATTTGACCCACCCTGTACAGTCAAGGTAGGTATTTATGATAATTTTTTAATCCTTCAATTCCATGACAGCTACCGCCATTATTCTATGACATTCAAACAATTCTATTTTTGAAATAGATAGCCACATGTCTTCTCTTTATGTCACAGTGACTGTGGTAATCACTATATTTGATTTAGGCTATACATATTTTTTGACAGGTATTTTTTTTCGTTCAAAAATTAAAAATTTTTTTTTTCTGAAAAACGGTTAATGTTAGGTACAGAGTGTTTTACATCAATATTCATAAAATTTTACGGAGAATCTAAGTATGTAATAAAAAACGGGGGTACCCTTTACAATATTTTGAATTTCCGGAAGTGCCGCCATATTGAAAGTATTTTAATCGATTGATCGCGTTCCCAAGTAGTATAGGAAGGAGAAAAAACCATTGACCACGGAAAATTAACCACTATTTGGTTGAATTTTACTTATACTTAACTTAATAAATTTCTTGTAGGGAATAAACTGCGAGAAATCTAAAAATGAAGTCGTAAACTAGTTAATAATAACCTAAAATTATGCCTCTGAAAAGTAGCAACGTTGGAGTTAGCTGTCATTGTTAAAATCTGGTTACTGATCAAGGTTATTATACTCTAAAGGTTACCTCACCTAAGCCCAACCAATCATAGCGCGTGACGCCCGAGACCCAGTTCCTCTTTGTCTAGCCTAGAAGTTATATGGATTTTGTCTCTCTCGTACTAACAGTTTAAATTTGTATTTTGTCGTCTCTTTAAAATAATGCAAAATACAAAAAGATTGGTATTATTTTGTAATGATTTATATTTTTTTCTAAAATGTAAAAAATTAAATTATTTTCATATAATTTAAATGAAATGTGTAAATGTATTAAAACGTAAAAAGTTAATTAATTTTGAAGATTTTGTAAAAGGATCTTATCGTGAATAAATCTTGATTTTCTTTTTCATAAATATTTTGGTATATATTTATAAAAATAGATACAATAAATAAAATTTAATATTTGGAAATTATTATCAATACCCTTACATTTTTATTTAGTAATATATGAATTTGTATAGTTATTGAAATAAATAAATCAAAGTACCTAATCAAAGCAATAAATTATTTATTTGTAATATAAATGATGTATATGCAAATTTAGTACAAACAGTTTTAAACAATTCAGAAATACCAATTTTACGACATGGTTTGTATAATTAATTTCTAAATATGTATATAAATAAAAATAATTTACATTGTAAAAAAAAATTCTTAGCATTTCTTTTTTATTTTCTTTAAACTTAAAGTTTAAATTTAGAACAAAAGTTGAATTTAAAATTTATAAATAAACTAACCGACTTAGTATTCTACTGTTTTATAGGACTTTTCTGCTTCAAGTGTAGTTGAGATTTTAAAAGTTGTTTTTGTTATTTCTTAATTTTTTGGTCCTCTGCCATCAATAATTCTTCCTTTAGAGATAGGATAGTTTTCAATTCATTATATTTTAACAATAATTCATCATACATTGGATGACCAACACAAGTAATAACAGCTCCAGATGCTACGGTACTGTGTTCCTTGGCAACATTTACATTGCTTTCCTCGAAATTTTTCATTAGTAATTCCTCCACCGCCACTTGTGTTCTTCTTTGTTCAACTCGTTTTTGCCTCAATGGATCAATTTTGTCAGGTGGACTGACTGTTTTTTACTTTTACATAAGATTCTACTCATACCTATGTAACTAAAAATATTATATTACAAAAAAGCCAAAAAGCTTTGAATTATTTACCAATTGCTTTTAATGTTTTTCTTAGTTTCCAAGTCCTAATAATTCCTCTTACTTGAAGATCTCTTTCATAATCGTCATCGGTAAAATGATCTGAACAAATCCTACAAGTTTCTACATTCCATTTTCCATCTCTACAACTCTACACCCTTTGAATCTGCACCCATATTTGAGTAATTTCGGTATTCTTCGGGAAAGCATGAAATTTAATAATTTTTCCAAATTTTTAGCCTTTTCTAGGCTATTTTGACAAGTAGTAACTGTATACTGAGTTCACAGCATTCTAAAAATATTAAATCTTATTGTTTTTTTTTCAAAAAAAAATAGTTATTAAAAATTAGTATAAACATGCCGATAAACGTTTCTCTAGGCTGAACATTTATATAAGTAATTATACTCACTTAATTGCCAGTTCCTGAGATCTACGCAAATAATAAATTGTCCACAAAGTACTTAAATATGTGTAGTTCACAGACCACAATTAAATTAACCAGTAACACTTAAAGAAATATTAGAAAATAAAGAAATAATACAAAAACGACACAAAACCACTACCAAACCAACGGCCATTGCCATTAAACCGTACGAGAAAGAAAACTAATTTTGTTTTCTAGTTAGTGTTTTAGTTTAGGCCAGTTCGGTAATTGCATCGGTCAGCAAAAGAATAAAAATTTGACATGTCACGTGACTCTCAATAAAGATTCTCATTTTAGGACACATGATTACTGTGAAAAGTTAATCGGATTGCTCGAAGATGTAATTACCGAACTTAGCATAAAATATTATTGTCAACTGTCACTCAAAGAAAATAAAAGTTTTCTGTTTTATCGGCGATACTCCAACAATGTATTCAAGACTTCGAGAAATGAGCTTCGACCTAATATAGCCCATTTTTTAACTTGCACCTCGAAAAATACCTTAAGCCAGAAATCTTGACCTTTGAGGTTATTAATTTAAAGAAATCTTAACCTGATAAAAAGAAAGTGGACTTTAAGGTTTTAAAATTATGGAAAACCTAACTTCATAGACGAATAGTTAAAAACACCATTAGCGGCCACTTTCTTATTCAATTTGTTTTCAAAAAATATTTTTTTGTGATATTGTTCTAAACTATTGAGAAAAATAAACAGACGTTTATGAATAACACTACCTACCACAAGTTAAATTAACTAATTAAGAACATTAAAAGTGTACCAAGGAAGTTAAACCAAGGAACTGAAAAAACGTTAGGTTAGAACCTTGAAAGTAACGATTTATTCTAAAATTAATTATTGAAAATACATAAAATTTTAATGGCGCTTAATTTTTTAGGGCCTATCATATTTACGTCTGACAGAAAACATTTCTCCGCAAACATAATTATCTTGCGAATTCAGTAATCCACTTCTTACCAATAACTTATTTACATTTACTAGGAAGTGCATATATGTAGGTATTTCATCCATATTGGATTAATGTTCAAACGACCATGCCAGTTATTACTACACTTGTTGGTCTTCCTGGTTCATTATTGGGAAATTCATTTACAGACACATATTAAAAAGAAAAATACTTTACCTTACTCTTTTTTTTCTCTTCCATGTTAAAATATAGGTAGTAAAAATTAGGACTATTTTTAGTAAAATTTATCTCTATTTTGCCATGTTATGACCTCAGGTCGGTTATTTTTGACTTCATAGCCCATATTTCATACAAGACATTATAACCTGTTAACCTGTTTTTAACTTTCAAATTACTTTAGCTTTATTCCCCACTTTGGAATTTTAACGTCAATTCTTGGAAATTTCGACCAATTTCCAGTTGGTCAATAATAGTCCAGATGGTTAATTTAACGTAATTTTACCTTCAAATGTTTGTTGGGTTGTAAAACATGTGCAGAAGATCTCCGATCTAGATACTGTAGTTCTCTAGAAACTTCTAATGCACGCTCAGCCTAAACACCCTGTATATCCCTACGTTTAACTACAGTCACCCTCTATACAATGATAATTAACGTCATTATCCCACTCTAAACAAAAACCTTTAATGACGCCCTCTCTATAGCTTCTGGAAATTGTTATAGAATAAAACAAATCGCTGGAAATATCCTGCGAAGAACTGGAAAAACGAAAATCGAAAAATCGATCCTATTGTTGGGCTGTGCCGTGCAGACGGCCGAGGCGTTAATTAATTTTCATGACAATTCGTAATTTGCGATCCCCATAATGACTTTTATATTTTTATATTCGTCAAGGAATTTAAATTCCAAAAATAAATAACAATGAGGTCCTTGTCCTGCTTCCAGCACCTGCTTAAAAAAGAAATATTCCAGCTTTGTAATCGTCGACTTGTTTAGATGATTACTTTCTAATTAATTTTAATTAAAATTTAAATTAATTCTAGTATTATTATTATTATTTAAGTATGATTAATTATTATTCTTGGACGATGAAGACATACGAAAAATAGATGTATTTGAAATGTGCTGGTGACCAATTTTACGAATATCATGGACAGAAAAAGGCTCAAATGCCAAATATACAGGGTGGTCCGAACTGTATTCCGGAAACTTCGGCAGTATATTCTGTAGATAAAAATAAGTATAAAAGTTCGTATAAATTATGTCCTAAAATGATTAGTTTCAGGGATACAGGGTGTAGAAGTTTCATTTTTATTTCGATTTTTTACGGTTTTTACGATATCGTACGGTCAATATGACTCGTACTAGTAGAGGGCGCCACCTACACGTGTTTTAACTGTTTTGAAGCGTAATAACTTTTTGTCCGTACCTGTATAAAACTACCGAGCGAAAAAATATACATCTCTGTGATTTTTTAAGTAAAAAATATCTCTTTGTAAAAATCGCTACGAGCAACTGTTATTAAGATATTTAGAATGGAAATAGTAAATACATGTCATTATTGAAGCCGAAGTTTCCGGAAAGTTTCCGAAGTTTCCGAAGTTTCCGTTTTCGAAAAGTTGCCGAAGTTTCCGGAAAACAGTTCGGACCACCCTGTATACTAAAGGAGTTAATATAATTTTATTTTGTACCAACTTCCAGAATCTACAGAGGACGTCATTATACGTTTCTGTTTAGAGTAACACTAACGTCAATTTGTATTATACAGTGTGTCCCAAAAATAAGTGCAAGTATTTTAACTGGTAATATATAGTTCAACCCCAGAAACACGCCTATGAGGTTTTTTTCGCGAAAAAAAAATTGAAAAAAAAATTTTTTTTTAGTTTTTAAAAAACATAATTTCTTGATAATATGGCAACATACATAGGTATTAGGTTAAATTTACAAAAAAGGAAAGATCCAGTGGTTCTCAAAATTTTAGCAAAAAATCATTTTTTTTATATATTCTCAAAGTAAAATAACTCCGTTATTTTGGACTTATTTGAAAAACGATAAAGAGAAAATATGTTTCTTTTATTTTATTAAGTATATTAAGGAGTCTACCACTCCTTAAAATACTTGCACTTATTTCTGGGACACCCTGCATACTGAATGGTTTTGCCATTAAAAATCTGTATTAGGGAGTTTACCAATGAGAAGTATAATAAAATATATTCTCAAAAAATGAATTTTCACTGCCTTTAGTTTCATATGGCTGTCCATTATCAGGCAGATACTAAACCTGGTAAACTAAGATGCACAGTTTAGAAAGAAATTTTTTGTTATTTAAGCCTAAAAACTTTAACGCGTAAAATTATGCCACATGAACAGTTTTATTAAAATCTTCCAGAATTCATCTGAATTGAAAGAATATTCATTCATCACAACATTGATATTTCATTGTAATTCATCAATTCCGTGTTTACACATTTTATATCAAAAATCTAAAACCTCTATTTAAAATAGCGATAGTTCTTAATGCTGTGTCATACACAGTGTTTGAGGTTTAACACACTTAAAACATTAAAATTTATAACTGAAGGTTTTGTTAGTTAGCAGGTTCCCACCTGAGGTCCCTGGATTGGGGAGGCTACTCGGCTAAGTTGATATGGTTGGTGCCAATATCTTTAGACTATGATTTATACCATTCTTTGGTTTTGATTGTTCAATTGTGTGCTAACATATTCGCCCAGGCACGGTTGGAAAATATTAGTACACTCAACAAGGCCCTTATTGTCACACCAAGTTATACTGAACCAAAAACAGCGGCACGAATGGACAGTAAACGATTATCTTTAGATTTAGTTTTAAACTAGAAATTATTCACAACATAATTCAAATCTATTAAATACCCCCATACACATGTTATTTATACTAATATATATTATAAAATCCTTAAAGGTGCGTATTCACTATCCGAACAAACGAACGAACGAACGAATGGGATTCGGTATATTTGGACGGGGAACTAAACGCATGCGGCCGTTCGTTCGTTCGTTTGCTCGACCATCCGTTTCGAGTCGGTACTTCAAAGGAGTTCGAAAACGAATGGGTAGATGTTGTTCGTTCGTCGTATCTGTCAAAATTGACGTTTTAAAAAATTTTGGTGTAGAGAATCGGCATCCTCGCGAAAAATTACAGTAGAAAATTTCTCTACTATCTTTAAATACCAAACAGGAAAATTATAAATCGAGTGAGACACTTAAAATGATGTCCCTGTACCTTAAGGTGCGTATTCATTATCCGAACGAACGAACGAACCAGCGAGCGAACGAATGGAATTCGGTATATTTGGACGGTGGACCGAACGCATGCGGTCGTTCGTTTGTTCGTTCGCTCGGCCATCCGTTTCGAGTCGGTACATCAAAGGCGTTCGCAAACGAATGGGTTAAGGTGTTAAGGTTTGGTTCTAAAATCCGGTCCCGTCCATATTACTACCGAACGAACGAATAAACATTCGTTCGTTCGTTCGGAAATGAATACGCACCTTTAAAGTGACTGACACACTGATTAATCACGATCCTGCTCAAACCACTCAACGTGAGAAGCTCAATTTTGGCATACAGATTGATTCTAGGGTGTAGAGGTTCGATAAGAAGGGATTTTTCGAAATTCCAGTTCCAAGGGGATGAAACCACCCCTCAAATATTACAATATTTTATATTTAAAAAACGGCCAAGTTTCCAAAAAAACGTTTAAACACGTATATTTTATTTCGTTTTTTTACAAATTTTAAGATTTTTTAAAAATGTATACAGGGAGTTTCGATAAATCTGGTCATTGATTAATCACGATCCTGCTTAAAGCGCTTGACGTAAAAAGCTAATTTTTGGAAAACGCATTGATTTTAGGGTGTAGAGGTTCGATAAGAAGAGATTCTTTGAAACTCAAATTCTAAAGGGGTGAAACCACCCCTCAAATATTAGAATATTGTTTATTTAAAAACCTGTGAGTTTTTCGATAAAACTCTTAAACACGTATATTTTATTTTGTTGTTTTATCTTAAACACGTATATTTTATTTTGTTGTTTTACATATTTTAGGATTTTTTAAAAATTTATACAGGGTGTTTCATAAAATATGACTATTGAATAATCACGATTCTGCTTAAACTGCTGGACGTTTAAAGCTGATTTTTGGTAAAAGATTTGACTGTGGGGTGTAGAGGTTCGATAAGGAGGGGTTTCTCGAATCTCAAATTTCAAGAGGGTG